GGGGGCTGCCGCGGCTCATAGCCGAGCGTCTCCCTTCTCCTGAATCCCGGGATGCGTTGAAGCTTCCCGGGTCTGGCTGGGGTGGAAGCGCTGCGGGAGCAAACCCCCTTCCTCCAGCATCCCAGGGCCTGCACCACCGCTGCCCCCATCCCATGGGGACCCTATGGCCCAGACTGACCCTTCTCATCCCAAACCCTTGCAGGAAAAATCCAAGCACTTGGAAGTGGAGCTGGAGGAGGAGAGGAGCACAGTGGAGCTGCTGACAGAGAGAGTCAGTCGGAGCAGAGACCAGGTAGGGCAGGTGCTGCCTCAGCTGGTGCCGTGGCAGAGCTGTTCCAGCTCTAGCTGGGTTAACTCGGATCCTCGGATACAGCTGGTCACTGGAACTGAAACTCTATTAATGAGTGGCTAACGAGCAGCCTGGAGCTCTCTGCCACTAAATCCAGTCGGGATGACAGTGTCAGAAAAGTTTGGGCAGGAATGGGAGTTATATGAGCTTAGGAAAAAATAATCAAAAAGAGATTCCCAGAAATTACAGGGTGAGGCTTAAATCCTGTCAGGCTCTCCCCTCCCTCCCTCTTACCCCACCTGATTATTCCCTTCAAAGCCTGAGCTCTTGGAGCAGGTAGGAGGCAGCACTGGGATTTACTGGGATCCTGGTAACAGCAGCTCCTCTGCCTCTCACCCTCCTGCCCCACTTAGATCCAGTCTGGGGCTTGGAGCAGGCATTCCCACCCCTTGGGCTGTGACAAGGGGATAAAATGGGTGGTTTTCCCATTTTTCAATCTGGGAAACATCCCAGGGGATACTTTCTCCACAAATCCTGGATGTGCCTGAAGCGTGGGAGCTGTGGAACAGGGATGTGCAGAATACCGTAGCCGTGTTCAGCTCGGAAGTGGATCAGACCCACTGCTGTCCCTGTGCCTTGTGGAACTGGGAGCACAACCAGGTCCCCAAATCCCAGTCCAACCAGTTGAAACAGTGGAACATTGCAGCCCTGGGCTTTGGGACACTCATGGAATTTAATTTGGGAAGGACCCAAAATCCTCTTGCTCTGGCTGTGTCCCACGGGAAGGTCACCCTGCGGCTGGTGGATGCGCCGAGTCCGCCCGTGCTCTGCAGCACTGGTGTCCCGGAAGGAATTCCGGTGGCTCCAGTGTCTTGCCAAGCAAAGGATGCAGCAAAACCAACCAGTGCCATGTCCTTGTGCCCAGATCGACCAGCTGCGGGCAGAGCTGCTCCAGGAACGCTCCAGCCGGCAGGACCTGGAATGTGACAAGGTGTCACTGGAGCGGCAGGTGAGGATGAGCCATGGAGGGGATGGGGACAGCTGGAGGGTAACTGGATCCCTTGTCCTGTGAGAGACATGGGGAGAAGTGTCCTGGGGCATCCTTGGGGGAGGGACCATGTTCCCAAGGAGCTTTTTGTGCTGTGAAGTCATTCCTCCTCCTCCTCTCCTCCTCCATGCTCCGGATTTGTCCCGTCCTCCCCTTTCCCCATCCTTGGAGCATCCTTGGAGCTGTCTGCCATCTCCCAGGGTGTCTTTCCTGCAGGATTCCCCCTTTCCTCATGCTTCCCACCTGGGATTTGTGGGGATTTGGTGGAATTCTTTTGGCCAGCAAAGGGATTTAAGAGCAGAAACTGGAGAGCATCATGGAGCCAGTGGGGGCTGTTGCAGGCCCCAGGGTGTCCCCATCCCCTCCAGCCTCTCCCTGTGCCCTGGTCGGTGCCAGCGCGTTAATTGTCGTTATATAACTCGGCTTGTTACGGCTCCTCCTTGGAAAAGGGTTGCTGGGCCCTGACTCACCACAGGGTTTACATAAGTGAGGCTCAGAGCTTCCCCACCCACCCAGGAGCCCCAGGATGGGATGACAGGGACAATTTGGGGGGGTTTTGTAGAACAAGGAGTTGAAGAACCGCCTAGCCAGCTCCGAGGGGCAGCACAGACCCAATAGCAACGTCTCCCAGCTGGAAGCACGCGTGGAGGAGCTGCAGGACCAGCTGCAGGCAGAGGAGAGGTACAGACCATGGAGACCGTCGTTTTTAGGGGTGTCTCACCCACTTGGTGGGTTCCAGCCCTTCCTGTTGCCTCTCCATAGGGAAAAGAATGTCCTGCTGTCCTCCAACCGCAAGCTGGAGCGGAAGGTGAAGGAGTTGACCATCCAGATCGATGACGAGCGGCAGCACGTCAGCAACCAGAAGGACCAGGTAGGTGAGCACAGCACCCTTTGGAGCTGCCAAGCAGCTCAGGGATCCTAACCATGCTAATCCTGTGGGATTCGCTGTGTCTCCACACAGCTGAGCCTGAAGGTGAAGGCCCTGAAGCGTCAGGTGGATGAGGCAGAGGAGGAGATTGAGCGGCTGGAAGGGGCACGGAAGAAGGCACAGAGGGAGCTGGAGGAGCAGCATGAGCTCAATGAGCAGCTGCAGAACCGTGTCAAGGCGCTGGAGAAGGAGGCTTGGTAGGGAATCTGGGCTGGGGGGGCTCCCAGATCCGTGGCAGGGTGAGAGCTGACCCCTGTTCTCCATCCCCAGGCGCAAAGCCGCGCGTTCGGCCGCCGACTCCTCGCTGCAAGACGACCAGCTGAGCTCAGATGAGGACTTTGACAGTGCCTACGGCCCATCCTCCATCGCCTCACTGCTCAATGAGCCCAATCTCCAGACCAGCTCCTGCTGACACCTGCTGCTGCAGCCCGGAGTGAAGCCACATCCCAAAATGCAGGTGCTGGATCAGCTGGGGATGCTGCAAGAACTCTTCTAACACCGAGGACATGAAGGAAGGAGGGTGGGGACCCTCTGGGGCCCCACCCCGGACAGTGTCTTGCCTCTTTTTCTTCATACGGGTCTCAGGGTGCGTTTGCACCGTGGCTCTTGCCTGGTTGTTGTCCTGGTGTCCCCTTGGTGACCAGGTCAGCGTGGCCCTGGGGGCTCAGGGTCCTGTGAGGGTGTTGGGGGGCCCCCACACCTGTGCCCCCCCGGTTTATTTTTATATGCAACT